GGATGTTAGTTAGGTAGCTTACAAGTAACAATACATTGAGGATGTAATACCAGAGTACCAGAATCACAGTGGAAGTCTATCGAACTAGAGCAGTGACATGGAGACAACAGAAAAGCAAGAAAGAAGGAAAACGAGAGGAAGAAACGATGGGAAGTACCTCAATGGGAATATGAACCCAGGTTGCTCGTAGATTAACCCTCTTTAGGTGCTTGACAACCTAACCGCGTTTGGGAAACCAGACTATCTCTACTAAACCACTAGGTATACCAACTGCACTTCATTTTCTTACCTATGTTTGTTTCTTCGATGAGATCCGCGAAGGCTGGCTTAGACGTCTAATGTCAAAGAGAAGGAAAGAAGTGCCCCTGGAAGGAGGGAAGGAGGGAAGGAAGGAAGGTACCACATAGGCCGTGCACCAGTTCGTGAACCTCACGTTTTCTCCCGATCCTTCCTTACAGCAATAATCAGGTAGCACTATTCAATGCTTTACTGACTTGGAGATGATGGCATACGTCTCCACCTATGCGCGGTACCACCGACCACGGCAACGGCTATTATCCTCGTGACGACGTTGGAGCCGTTAGACAGGGTCGGTCATGTATGAGCAGAGAGACACTACGGGCGTGTTCGTTCCGGCAGTAGTACAGTAACGGAAGCATCTTTTTGGTGGCAGAAAAGCTTTGGGTTAGGGTTAGAAGAGATTCCCTTACTGCACTACTGCCAGAACGAACACGGCCTACTCTGCAGACGGGAGGTATGCACGCCTGATCCCATCAACAGCTTCAGTTGCGACAGGACTACAGCACCGGCAAAAACATGTTCTTCGTCGACGAAGAAGAGAGGCCCAATATACAGATACCACAGCCAGGGCAGTCTCCTTAACTATCTTTGACGGCCTCATCAGGGCAGACAACTTCACCGGCTCATCAAAGAGCGGAAGACCAACGGAAAGGCAACCTCGGCAACTACGACCTACATGTATATAAAGACAGCACACACCAGACAACCGCTGAGCCAACCAGCCACGAACCAAGATCTCCAGGGGCACGCATGTCCGAGTGTGGGACGGTGACATAGATGCCCATCAACCAAGTTCATTGATGAACTGGCAACACTACAACACTAGAGGTACACTACCGGGATAGGGTCAAGGCACTCGATATCAAACCCCAGGAGATAACTAAGTCTCTTGAAGACAACATTGCTTGATAGCAATATTTCCGTTGACGAGGCGAACATAATATCGTTTGCCCATCTTGGGATCAGCGCACTCCGACCTACCAGACGAAATGGTCAACCAGGAGGGTGACAAGTTCACTCTCTGTAGGTGTTATTTACCTACACAGCCGCCACTCCAGTCAATATGAGCTCACCCTCCAACGCCGGTTGCAACGCTGGACCACCCCATCATGAACAGGATGATAAGGGGTTGGTGGCAATGGGAGACACTCTTAGAGGTTTATGCCAGGCATCGGTGCCAACAACAATAAGGGGCACGAAAAATCACATAGGGTCATTCAGAATAGAGTCTGAAAAGTTCATGGACAACACAGACAAGATGCCGTCAAACCACGTTCAGATTTCATTCTCCGTACCATCAATGACCTTCACTCCACTCGTATATAAACCCCCCACAGACCCAAACCAATACAAAAGAAAATAGATGTATGAAGTCCCAGACCCAAACATTGAAAGCCGTTCTTGAAAACGACCCTCATATTCTTTCTCCTCCTCTCCTCCTTCCGCAAGCGGCGCCAACCTCTCCCCACACTAACACCTTCCCATCCCACCCCCCGGCTAACACCTCCCATCCCAAGACCTCCCCTCCCGTCCACCCTCTCTTCCCTCCGCGACAAACCCCAAACCGTCCCGTTATAATTATCTCATCACCTCGACATTATCCATTCCTACTAGAAGTTTTAGTCGTGTTTGTGGTCGTACGGTTGTGATACGGTCAAGGCTGGTATGGTTTTTATGCCAATACCATGCTCCTTTGTCACCACCACCCCTACCACTACCACTACCACTACCACTACCACTACCACTACCACCAGCACCACCTCGTCCTCCTCTACCACCGCCGCCACCACCATCCACCCCTCCCACACCCAAAAGTAATCTCACAACAAAGCAAGGGGCGACCTTCCCGTCTGCGGCCGAGCTTGTCGTCGTCGTGTACCCCCCTCGCGGCGCCCGGCCCTGACCAAGAGAAGGCGTTTGTTATACACCTTCCTTTGGCCAGAATCGGAGCCTGAGAGGGAGCCACTCCCAGAGCCAGGCGAACCGGGGCCCGGGCCGGGGCCAGGACCAGGGCGAGAGTCGGGGCCGGAGCCAAAGTCATCGCTGTTGTCGTCTTCTTCTTCGTCTTCGTCTTCGTCCTCTTCCTCTTCCTCTTCCTCGCCGGAGGAGGGGCGGCCGGGGCCGGGTGCAGACAGCTTCCTCCTTTTGGAGGGAGGGCTGAGGTTGTTGCTGTTGCTGCTGCTGCCGCTGCCGCTGTCGGAGCCGGAGCGAGGGCGCTTTGCTCTGGCAGACGAGGGAGAGCCGAGGGTGTCTGCTCCAAGAGCCAAGGAGCGCTAGACCCCGGTCTCTTTGGCATAGCCCCCGAACTCTCCCCTCGCCGCCGCGAGGTCGCCGAAAATGGTGTTGGAGACTGAACAGGAAGCAAGTTAGCATATACTGTTTGATGAGGTGCGAAAATGTATTTGAGGTAAAGGTGAAATGAGTTTCAATGACACTGTCCTTCACTATGTTATATGATGTTTGGAATGGATCGGAACTGCAACCTCTTGACACGAAAAACATAATAGGGCGAAAACAAACTGAAGTCACTTACCACGCGGAACGTTGTTCCTCGGCTGAGGAGGCCAAAGCCAGGGCGGCGGCTGGGGAAACATGACCGGCTGTGGCGGCGCAACTTGGGGCACGGCAGGCTGGGGCTGGGGCTGGTTCTGGGGATGCCAGACCGGGCAGCCTTCGCATCTCTCGTGGTTGCAGAAGACCAGGATCTCTCCATCGTCCTCGGCGACGATGTACTCATTGTCAAACGACGACCACTGCTCCTGGAGTGCTTCGTAGGCTTCAGGAGAGTAGGGTTCCTCGTGAAGCACCCAGTCGCAGTGGCCGCCGCTTCGACCAGTAGCGAGGCACTGGCAGCAAACCCACTGGGAATTCATGGTTGCGGAGATATGGTTGGAGGAGATGTGGTTATTTGTGGGAGTTGATGAGTGTTGGTGAGGTTGAGGTTGTGTGGTTGAGAGTTGAGAGTTGAGAGAACTTGTAAAGGTGTAAAAACTTTCTGTGAGAAAAGATCTGGTCACATCGATGTGAGTGAGTGAGAGTTTTGACTTTCCTAGAAAGTTGAAGAAGAAGAAAAGAGGAAGAAGAGGAAAGCAAGTCGGGGAGTCGTCAATTTATAGAAGAAAAAAAGGCAGGCACAGACCGTACGCCCCACTCAAGTCCGATATTGTCTACTTGAAAGCGCTGTTGCCTATTGTCACGCGTGTCCACGGGTAGTTTCAAGGAGAAGCACTCGTCTGAAATAGATCGGATGAGCAGAGCGGGGCGAGATAAGGCGAGTACAGCATGCTTGCTGTTCTCAACTTCTGGGCAGGGCCTCCCATACCCTCCTTGTTGTGTCTGCGCATCTGTTTTTGACTTGGTGAAGCGTTCGTGGACAGTAACTTTGCACGCTTTTTCTTCAACTGTTGCTAAAAAGAACAAGGATAACTCATATGGTTCTCTCTGTCTCCCACTTGAAGCGGCCTACACCTGTGCACCAAATGCTATATCAACGTCTTCTATACTGTTGCCATGATCCACGACTGTGCTCGACAGGCCAACTTCAGATGTAGCGGCATAAGGTAGGGACATGAGACGGAAAGTCTATAGTCCAACAAGATGTGAATCACTCGCCGTCTGATTATCAACGTCCAAGTTAGACTCTCTGGATATCCAAGACAGACTCTCCAGACGTCCAAGAGAGAATCTCCAGACGTTGCAACGCTGTGGGCTATCTTACAAGTAAATCCTGCGGAGGTGTGAGCAGACCAGCGACTGGCCCCGAGAGACTAGGACCTTGATAGCTAATGTCTCCGAGTCCAGACCGTGATCTTATCCATGACACTTCATCTGACTTGCTTACATCTTTTGTTAGGAGCGAAGAAGAATAATGTTTGTGAAACATCCATCGCCTTACCTGTAGCTGACGGTGAGATGAAAGCCGACACTCGCTTTGTTGATGACGTTGCTATGGATATTCATGCTCTCGGGTGAGCGAGTTGCTTCATCCGAGATAGGACGAGAAATTTAGAGCAACAACTTGGGAAAGAGAATTTAACAAGGAAGTGACGAGATCGGTAGTGTACGTAAAGCTCCTGACCGAGTTCCGATGATATTTGTTGTCTTCCCCTCCCAGGATGGCGTTGAAGAAGGACAGCTGGAAGGAGCCAGAGACAGTACCATCGATTTTAGTGAAAAGCCGCTGTCCTATAGCACGCTGCCATCCCTTGGAGACGTTACTAAATTTGCTCAATCTTGTTGGAAGTAGAGGTATCCATTCCAAATCTTGCGCAAATACTTCGACAATTAAGTCGATTGCTTCTTGTGGTAGTCGATCCATGGTGAAAATGATGGGAGATAGAGATAGAGGTGAGCAGTCTTGATGGAATAGGTACCCTAGGTACCAACCTCAGCGAAGATGGGTTGCGATGGTTGCATGAAAAAAGAGCTACGGGGCTGCAGTCATCCATATTCTGGAAGCGATGGCCGGTAGGTGAGAAAACTTAGAGGTAATGTTCAAGTGACGAAAAGTCGAAAAGGAAAGTGCGAAGAATGGGTGAGGTGGACGTCATTGAACCCATATAGGAAGAGGAACCCATCAAAGAAAACCCGGGCAGGTAAAAGCTTGAAAGTACCCTCACAAACCAGAGCGGTTCGTATTCGAGATACTCATTTGCTTCTGAACTCTCTCACATTGGTCTTGCGCAGTACCTACCTAGTAGCTGACTGAAGGACTTCAATGTGGTCTTCGTCTCCGTACATGGAGTTCACTGATGTGGGCCTGTGCCGCGACTTCCTCCTTCTTCATACTCCCTCCCATATTCCTGCCATCAGAGCGCTTTTAGCGACCTGCTTTCGTGTTTCGGCTTGGCCCTTCCTGCTCGAGTTACCTTGGACGAGCCGGCCGCCCACGACAGACTGCCACGCAGTTTGAAGAAATGGTGAAAAATTACCGGTGGGCCACGGCTTCTACACGAACCCCAATCAACGCTCTGCTGATTGAAAACTTTAACCGCTTCTTCGGTTTTCCTGGTTTACACCAGCAGCTGTTCTCCATACCCAAGAGCTCATGGGTAGGAGAGTAAACACTACCGCTATCACGAGCAAAGCACTCGCCTACAGGTAGGCAAGCTTTTCTCCTTGCTGTAGGTCATGTATGTATTCTATGCCTCCAACGACACCCACCTATGCGGCTGACAATGCGATCAGATATCAACCACTTCCGATTCTTCAGCACCGGTCCCTCTCGCTTCCACGACAGACGACAATGCCTGCCGTTCAGTACAGAACCCATCTCGATCCTTGGCGATCTCCTCAGTCCAGTGTCACCATCATCATCACGAGTCCGTATCGGAACCAATACCACGCCAGGCCGCAAAGACAGGACTGCTTCCTCCGCAGACTGTAACAGGAGGCCTTTTGGTCTCGGCTGCCTCAGCGAGAGACGCCGTTGTACGTTGCCACAGTCCGGCCTGAGAAAGTACATACTTCACGTGTGGTTTCAGCCATCAGATTCAGCCCGGAGCCCGTCTCCTACTCGACAACCATACTCCGGCTTCCACCCGGACCCGACTGAGCGACAATCGACTCATCCTCGGGGCTCACGGAAGCTAGTGCAACACTTGCTGCTCGGGCTTGGTGGTGGTTAGCGACTTGTTTCCTTGTGACTCCTCGTAACCCGCGCGCACAGCTCCGTTCGGTATTTGCCCTCGACGACAATTCCGAGCTTGGAATCACCATAACTTCACCTCCGCAAATAAACCACAAGTTAGAGCTGAGGGGATGCTGCCGTGTCAAAGAGGCGTCAGGAGACTCTTTATTGGGTTGTCCACCACGCGAGACATTGACTGAGAGGACGGAGCACAAAACGCATCAAGATATATTGTCCGCCTTTGTGTGCTCCTGAGACCTCGCTTATGGCCGCTGAAGTCTGGGCTCCTTTGAACGATGAAAGCATCTCTCCCTGCGCCTCGCCGAGATTCCTGGAAGGCAAATCTGAGATCAGATGTCGCAATATGCCAAAATCCCTCGTGTAACCAAGGTACAACCCAGCCTGTATCTTCAAATTGCTTTTCTCCAACCCGATATCCAGCCACAAACGTGATGGGCGCATCATAACCGCGCTATTGAAAGTACTGCCATGCTGCTTTGCGCTGGCCGTTCCAGGTTCTGTGGCTTGGGCTAACCATCGATTACTGATAGGGCTATGATCCAAAGAGAAGCCATCTGTGGACAGTGAGGGGTCGGAAAGATCTGGGAGACAAGCGCGGGAGGATAATTGTTGTGAGATGATACCCGTCTTAGACTGTTCAGATCTGCCCCTCCAAGGTCTTTGATCCTGCTTCATCAACCGCACCCAGCTTCAGTAGAGGTACGCACAATTCACATGCAGGTACTGTTCTGATTCTGTACGTTGCCGCACTTTGCCTGCCGGAAAGCAGTCTACTACCTAGCACTCTATTATTTGCATCAGCATATGCCGATTGCCGGCCAAGCCCAACTGTCTTGGGAGGCCTGAGCTAAATTTGCTAGTCTCCAAGACATCCCGCCAGGTATACCTCTCTACCTGAAGCGAGGGGGCGAGATATGACAAGGTAGGGCCGTTGCCATGGCATGTTTTATTGTTTGGCAGAAAAAAGGGGCAAGCCACTCGTGTCCCTCGCGTGCTCCGGAGGCCGGTCTCCAAGGATCCTGCAGCGAGCAGTCTTCAGTGGAAACGCCATTTGGGCCCTCCGCTGCCCTTCTTCTGACATTCAACGCTTCTGCAGTCTGCACCATGGGACGGCGGGAGGCGGCCAACGAGGGAGAGTTTGTGTGACGACACCAACCTTGGACATGGGAGACCGGTCGAGCTCCCAGCTGCTGTCTCGGTTTTATGCAGTAAGCTCATGTCAAGACACCGGAGAAGTTGGGTTCTGCCGAATCTCTCGCGATATCCCGCGACTGACCATTGAGATTAGGAGAACGACACGATGGCTGTTTCAACATCGATGCTCCATGCGAGTCGGGCCCCTCGGCGGCCTGGCTGCTTTCGACTAAACAGCCATTCGGAATACAAGATCCGTTAGATTACGGACGTAGCTCAAGAGAAAAGCGAACCTTGAATCATCCCGACACCATCACAGACTCCGTGCCGTTGCTGCTTTGTTTCGAAAGACTGCAAACCGCCGAATCGAGGGCCTGCGAGGCCACGCCGTGTAGCAACGCCGCGATCGCCCAACGCATTTCTATACCCAAGCTATTCTTGGAGGGCGTCCATGTCGAGAGGCTAGTCCCGTCATACTCGTCTGGTCGAGTGAGATAGGGATGTTGAAGAACCTTCAAGGGCTGTTTCGGACATCGCTGACTCAAAACAGACAAACCGCAGTAACCAGTGGCAAGTTCAAGCCTCGAGTACATCAGGAGAGCCGAGAAGTCAACGTATCCGGCGCTTGGCTCTCTAGAAGAGGCATTGCCATAGCTGTCTCAGAGCTTGTACAACCATCATCAAGAATTTAGCCCGACTACGTTCACAGACCCACGTTTCTCCCATGCTTAACACTCGCCCATCGTTCACCGAGGCACCCACGTGCTTCTCCAAGCTGTTGACCGTAACGGCGCTTACTTGGCAGGAAAATGGCACCACATATTCGAGAATGGCTTACCAAATATCAACCTGAATAGGAAGTCTGCGATGTACACAGCGGCAGTACTTCCGAATTCTGCTTCAGGGTTCACTTGGTTTGTGCTGCCCCACGGAGCTTCAGGAAGAGACCGAATCGGCATTGAGCCGAAGGGATGGCACGATGGAGCGGACGAGACATGCCGACCTGATGTAAACGTGAGGATCGGAATGGGCAGGGACAGAGGAAGAGAAGGATATAAGGATATGGCGAGGTGCATCTCAAGTGTGCAGTTGACTGAAAAAGCTTGTGAGCGACAGCAGTTCCAAAGTTGAAGTTTATCACTACTCCGGCCAGTTGAACGACGAACAGACATTGGACGGACACTCATGGAAAGAAGATACACAACGCACTTTCAACACAGCTAACAGCAAAATTCATCCCGCAACATCCACCTGTAAGATCTACCGCGGCATCAAAGATTGCCCTGATGAACAAAAAGCTAACATCAATTTCATTCTCAGACAAACAGGTGCAGACTAAGGTTATCAAGGACCACCAGTTGCAGCTGTCTGCTGTCAAACCCCGGAGAGAGACAAAAGAAGAAGCACTATTTCCACACCGAACGTCATTGTAGCCGAGAACAGAGCAACAACGAACTACTTTGAGACGTGATATATTAGTTTTTCGGCCACTTGGAGTCAAGAAACACAGGGTTCAACTACTTCAAGAAAGTGGGAGAAAGCAGGATACAACGGATCTCGAGGCTTTGAAGAGAAGAAATAACACAAACAACAAAATGTGCACCTACCACTACCTCCACCACCACCACATCCCTCCTTGCCCAAAAGACCTCTACTTCGTAATCCACTACCTCTTCTGCTCCGACGCCACCATCGACTTCACCACCGGCAACCGCCAACCCTGCAACAACGCGATCTACGACGACTCCCACCTTGCGTCCACAGCCATGTCCAACAGCATCTCAACCCTCTCCACTTCCCCAACCTCCTCTCAATCTTCGGCATCAACCACATCCTACTACTCCGACGACGGCACTCCCTTTTCCGTTGACTACACTTCCTTGTATTCCTCCACCGCCTCCATATCCCCCACCCAGCAACAACAACACACACAACCGCAGACCATGGACTTCAACAACCCCTGCGCATCCTCCACCTGCCTGACCAGCCTCGAGTGTTCCTCGGGGCAATGCAGACTCGAGCAACTAGGCGGTAAATGGACGTGCTGCAGGTGTGGAGGCAAAGGGAATGAGTATGCGTGGTGTAAAGCACGGCCGGGGCTGGTAAGAGGGGCGGATCCGGATATGGTTTGTTATCATGTTGTTTGTGTTGGGTGTGGAGCGACGGGGATTTCAGAGAAGGGGAAGGGGAAGGGGAGGCGATAGATTGAGGAGATGGGAGAAGAGACGGTGTGAAGTGCACTGCACATATAGTTGGCACGTAGGGTGAAGGGAACAATACACGTGAGGAAAAGTGACACTTGGTAGGTCTGTGTTGTAGGTAGAAGTGTTGAGTGGAGAAACTAAAGAGTGTTGGGATGAAAGGTTGGTGCTGGAGTGTGGGTTTGTATTAACCAAGGCAGGTACGGCATGGGGGCGGGGGTTGGCGGGATAATGTTCAACATGAACAAGACTTGGAGCATAGGGAAGAAAGCGATGGTAAGAACCTAAGGGAAAGAATTGAATGGTGAGAAGGTGGGTTGGTGGTAGTATAGCTGGAAGCAGAGAAGCGCTTGACTGTTGTTCAATATACCTCTAGGTTAGATTGAATCGACCACCACTAGCCGCTACCTTACCTTTATGTACAGGGAACAAATGTATATAGGAGTAAGCAACGATGGGGATATCGAAGACGAACTGTGCGGAACTTTGTCAGAAAGCAAAACTCCTCCAGTCGGACTTCTTGGGGAGAAGATTCAACCATCGGGAAAACCCAGGACTGGAGTGCGTGGTGGCGCACGCCTTGAAGTTTGTTTGGGTTGCTTCTAGTGTGGCTGGAGCTGGACGGCGGTCGGAGACAGGGACTTCACCGGTGTGGTTGGTGTTGATGGGACTCTTGAATGCCAGGAAAGCGTGGTGGCTTGGGTTTTTTTTCTCGATACCTCAGTGGTGTTCGCCTGGGTTATTTCATTTCTTGCCCCTGGGCTGGTTCTGCCGTTGGTGTCTTCCACAGGCCAGTCTATATAGGTAGCAACAATAACATACGTAGAGGTATTCTTCAGTTACACTTGGAATCTTCAATGCGAACAGAGGATCCTTTGCCATCAGATCGCCCTGTACACATCATACGGGAAGCATAGGTCGGTAGCCTTTGTCTCACGATAGCTTGTAAGTGGCGAGCTGTCATAGAAGCTCAAAACTCTCTAGACCATCCCATCTCCAATAAACCTGTCGACTACGCATCACCCATCGGTATTGCCCATTCAAGGCTGTATCATATATCTTCCATGCGTTGCTTGATCCTTGACGTCGAGCATCTGTACTTGCTGTGTCCCTTTCCTTGCCTGGTTTTGTGTGCCTTGTCCTTGTCCTTGTCTTTGTCCTTCTGCTTGGTCTTGTCCTTGTCCTTGTCCTTGTCCTTGTCCTTGTCCTTATCCTTATCTTCATTATTCACACATGTCTGCCTCGCGCGGTGAAGCCTTTCTCTGTCTTCCTCTGCCAGCCTTCACTGGCCTTTTTTTGCACTAACAGCTCGGGGTAGAATAGAAGTAGAATAACTTTTGCCTTCTCAACTTACCCTGTCCTTGTCTCCTCCGATATCTAGCATTCGTATATGCGGCGGCTTTTCACACTTGTCAACATAAGGTCTCAGATTATGCAGTTCGTTCATGCAGTTCATGCAGTTCGTGCGCCAGATTCACATGTCTTGCGGTTATATAGATATGGCAGCTCTTGATGGTTGGTGGCTGAGGATGTTGGCTGTGGATGGGGGCTGTTGGTGATGCTGGTGCTGGTCGACTGACGCTGGCTGGGTGATTACCTACAGGTAGGTAGGTAGGTAGGTATTGATGGCGAGGATACTTGGGGTTTCTATCCCGATACGCCAGTGTTCTGGATTCTATTCTATTCTATTCTACCATCTTAGTATTTCATAGTGTACCTGTAGGTACAAGGTTTAATATATTTATCTGCATGGGGATCACTTACCTACTAAGTATACACCTCTACGAACAGAAAGTGAATGCCGCATGCCCTATCCCTCTAGCTCCCGTACCCCATGTGCAGCCGCCATTGAAGATCATGTAGTTCTCATCATATGTTGATGTTCTTCCCCTCTCAAAGCGAGCCTTCTAAGTCATCACGCATATCCCAACACGGATCAACCCTGTTGGTCGACAGCCTTACTCTAGGTTGTCTTTTGGTGTTCGCTTTCTTCTTCACAATGAAAACCATGACTGAGACACAGGCTTTGGTTTGGAATAGTACCTACTATATATAAAGGTATGTTGCACGGCTCTTTTGATGAAGCTTTTCATCGGCAGCTTGTTGATTCCAATGCTTGAATGACAGTCCACGAGTGCTTTCTAGGAAATCTTCCATCAACAAACAGCTCCTCTTGAGAATCTGCAGAACATGCAGTTCCCTAGGGTACCTAGCGTTTCCTCTTCGGCACTTCCAACCTCTCCCCATACTACGCCAGTTTTAGTTCTAGTTCTAGTTCTAGGTAGTTCTAGTCCCCCTTCCCTTGCGCTTCAGCCCGTCAGCTCCAAATCCCGAAAAAAGAAGCTCGCTTAGATCTTCTGCATAGATTATCTGCAATCAAGCCAATCTGCAATCTGTACGCTACTGTGACTACCCGCACAGCGATATGTACGATTTGACCATAGGACTGCTGCAAGATAAAACTTCATGATTGATGCCCTTGACTATCAGTGCTGAGCACGCATTCAGCCTGAGACCTGTATTGCTGACTGGCCAATAACACGAAAGTCGAGAAAGTCTCTGCAAAATTTCATGATGGTGATAGACAGACTTCCTATCAGACCCTCTATCAGACCCTCTAGGATATCAGCTCAATAATGGTCAAAGTGATAGATAAATCAAGCTGAGAAGAGCGGGCAGTATTCAGTCTTATCCGCTAAGATACTATAAAAGAAAAAGGTTAGAGCAATTGACAAACATAGAACACCAACTCAGGCATGTGACTGAAGCTAGTCTCACCACCTGCATGAACTCCTTCGTCATCTAAAGTCTTTTTCTCTTTTTTTTTTTTTTTTTTTCTTTTTTTTTTTTTTTTTTTTTTTTTTGCGGTGGTAAAGAGTGAGACGACTAGGTATACTACCTACTTGCTGATTACCTACAGTACTCCATTAGTTCTCCTTCCTTACAGGTGCCTATCTTATCGAGCTTACCTACAGCTCAGCTTCCCTTCCCCAAGACAAATTTGAGGGGAGAGGGAAATGACCTATAATTGGTATGTAATCCGAGCTGAGAAGTACATCCGGCAGGACCCAGCCAATAAATGATGCACGCACAGAACGGGAACAAGATATCGTCAGGAAAATGCGTTCATACCTCCAGGTACCTATCTACCTAGTTCCGTGGAGATGTCCGTCACCAAGGATAAGTTCGCAAAGTGACTTGTCATTTTTTTTTATTCCAAGGTACTGAAAGATCCAAGCTCCATCTGTGGTTAAAGGATATCCAAGACATTTGTTTTCTCATGTCGGCTAAGTACGTATCTTAGCTCGTACTATGCATCTTAGCTACAGGTACCTCTAAGCTTGACCGGCTTCGTTGGGTTGAGTTAGTCACCAAGAGCGACTGAAGCTGTGCACAGCCAGGTACCTAGCTGAAGGTAGGTACCTACCTAGATATGCACGATCAAAGATGGCTGAATTAAAAGCGGGCGGTTGAAGATGCGATTGGTCAAGCCAAGTGCTAAAAGTTCCTAGCCTCCCAGCTCCTAACGAACATGGGGTCACCCAATGGGTATAGAGGCGGTCCACCCCAACTTGTACTATGATGTACCGCTTGAGACTGCGTACAAGTAAGGTGTTCGAGACTTGTGAGTTTGACCAATGACCAACTACCTGGATCTTGGGTCCCATTGAAGGATTCCACACTTCCAAATCGGGGAACTATATACATCGAGTGTAAGACCTAAGAGGTCGGTAATTTCCATACACAGTAGGTAAGTATGCTTGGGGGAGCTCTTCCCACGCGGACTTGATTCCTGGGTTTACCATTGGCCATACAGCCCTTCACGCTCGCAGCTCAACGTCATGGGTGCCATGAAGCGACGGTGGGGTTTGATGTCTTTGACAGGGGAAGTTCCTCACGCTTGTCTCAAACCTCCGGGCATAAGAAGAGATCTAGGATGCCGGTCCCAGTCGGAAATAGGAATGGACAATAGAAGATGGGAATTGGTGTGATCTCCAAGCCGGATCTTCCTCTTTCCGATCTTAATTCGAGTGCTAAACGAAGGGACGGACATGTGCACGTGTGAATCAGGTATGGCGTGGGTATTCGGTGTGATAGAGGCCTTGATATGCCCTCTAAGTGCTAGTGAGAATCGGGGTGTGAAAGCCGTAGTACTAACAGCACCAATTGGTGCACAACTACCACCTGCCCTTGAAATATCCGGAGATCCGGGATCAGGGAGCGAGCGAAGTGCCCTGGGGGCCTGCTTAGCGAACTTAGCTGCCTACTTTAGTACGATCTTCAAAAGAGTTTAAGCACGTGGCTGTGGTGCTTACCTCTAGCTTGGTAATGAACACCCATGCCTATCCGGGACCACGAACGGCATAAGTGGGGCATTTCTGCGCCGGGAATGTCTCAATCTTCGGGCAACAAGGACATCGGGGGACGGGTGCGGTCAGCGGAACAGAGTCTGTTCGCATCTGGTCAACCATGATGGAGAACTCCCGGACCGGGTTCCAGGATGTAATCTCCAGACCATATCACGCTAGCTGTAGGTGCCCATCCCATCGTCACCCACATGTTGCTGCGGCCGGCGTAGGCATGTCAGACTTCCAGCAAGCGGAGAAAGTAGACATGAATCTATGGGCACCATACCTTAGGACCCCAACGAGTACGAGGACGTTGTGAAGAGGTGGTTGGAGTTTGAGTTGAGGTCTGCAGACGGCCCGCGAGAACTCACCTATGGTAGTGAGTTGCGCTAAGCGGTAGGATCCTTAGTGTTGATCTGTCTTTTCTTGTTATGGACAAGTCCAGTTCGCTTGGTTCATCCCCAACGAGAAGACAAAATTCCGCAGCAGGCTCGAGGTTGTCTTGAAGCTGCTAGCTGTCATGTTTTTACAAAGGTGCAGATCGCCCTCGCTACCATAGAACCGCGTGCCTGTGAGCTGCCAGTAGCCTGGTGGCCGGTGGCCGGGATCATGGGAATAAAACAGCTGGAACTGGAAACCGTGGGGATGCTGACAGGCAGGTGAGTCGGTTCCATTACTGATGGAAATGTCTCATCCTCTTGTCCATTTATCACCGGACTGATCATCTATCAACTCGCGTTCAAAGTCAATGTCATATACGTTACTGACG